CCCAACAAAAAAATCAACAAAAAAACCCCAACAAAACAACAACAAAATAAAAACCCTCCCGCAAAGCCACATAAAAGAACTCGCTCACAAATTTAAGCGAAAAGCCCAAAGCTAATTTGATGAAGGTTTAAGTCGAAAAGAATCTTCACTTCTCCCGACTCTCAAAGCCGAGAAGGAAGCAGTTCGCGACTAAGGGCGATAAGCCAGAAAATATTGCACTTCAATGCGAGACACTTCACAGCAGTGCTCTCCCTTCGCACAGACGCGCTCGAGAGAAGTACGTTGAATTTGACACAACAACGGACTAACTCCATTTTAATAATTTTTTCCATATATTCATCATAAATCTTCCCTCCCACCACCCCCTGTCCCGTCCATTTAAAACAGAATAGCAGCCTTGTAAGGTGAACAAAAGGATACAATAGATAACTCCAGCTCTAAAAAGCCAAGAAGAAAATGCGCCACGGCAGCTTGAACCACGTCTCCCAGATCTAGCCCTCTTTATTGGTTCGCACAGGAACAGCAAAGAATAAAATAGTGGCAAGATACACAAAAATACGACCAAGAATTATCTTTTTAAAACAAGGCGTCAAGGACGATAGAAAGCCATTTGCGCAGACAGATTTGCGCAGAAATTACCTGTATAAAGCAATGCCGGTAATTATATCACTCTTTTTGGAGAATAAAGTATTCTTACTTATTTCTTTGGAAGAATCGGAATCAATAATTTAATAAAGCGTCTTAAAAACGTTTACATGAAGTATCCAGTATCCATGGTTGTTCATGGGGCACTTGATCTGAATTTTCGAACAGTGTCCTAACTATTACAGTAGGGAGGACCACGCTGCTGTTGATCATTTAAAAAGAAAAAGGCTTACTCATCTTTTAACTCTGTCTTTGTCATATCACGGTCTTTCAGAGCACTGTGCGATAATGTGCAGACAGATCGTGGCACATAAAGAGTTAACTCGTACCAGTAACGAAAAGCTGAAGGGGGAAAAGGGACGTCGATAAACTGGAAAAGTCGTGAGAGACAGGGTGTGGAATTGCTATGGGAAATGAGAAGGGATTTTTTTTGGGGGGGTCTTTTTTCAAGGGGGCGGTTTCTTATGTTTTCTTATCTTTTTTTTGG